AAGAAGTGTAACAGTTTGTTCACCTCACAGCACACCCAATAGTCCACAAACATATTCTCCAAATATTACATATCCAACATTTTCATGCCAAACTCCATCTTCTCCACATACTCCATTTTTTCAACAGTCACCCATACCAAGAAAGACAACTTCTACTAGAAAATCCCAGTACGAAGAAACTTATTTTATTGCAGATGCCATTATTGAAGATAAGCATGTTTTCGACAACCCAAATACAATTGCCAAGTATTACTTGTGCAATAACCTCTATCCTTCAAATAGCAATAACAGCAGAAAATAGTATGAGATGATTTTACTGGAAACAAAATCTATTTCACTGGTTCACTATCACTAGAAGAATTCAAAAATAGTTGCTTATTCGAAATTAGAAATAAGAAAAATATTATTGTTTGAAGAATGGGGATCAAACCCATCTAGAGCAAAAAAATTATATTCCCCTGAATTCTTAAATAAATATTACCGCCATTCAGACTATATTGATGCTTGGCACAAAATTCTAGCCATACAAAACCCATATAATTCGCACACTTGGTTTCTGCAATTCAAGATGACCATAACAACCCCATTCCCGAACTAGTTTCGAAACTGGTTTGCTATATGGGGATCCTCGTCCCAAATATTACCTGAGTCTCTACAGGTATCCCAAGCTCGCTTTATTGAAAGAAATGGGAGTGATCCCAATATTGATTATCATTTATATTTTGTTTCACTTTACCAAATTCCATGGATATTGAAGTGGTCATTTACTATATCTGCAAATAATACTAATAATTATGAATATATTCCTTGCATTGGCAAACAAATTGCTATTAAATGGTGGGACGTCTTTGTCTACCATAATCTTGAACCAGACAATATACAATTCAAACAAATCCCTACTAATCATGGTTTTCACTCTTATGCTAACCCAAATAGTCTTGCTGAATATATTGCAATGATGAAAAAAGAAAACCCCAAAGCAACCAAAGATGAGCTTGAAAAACAATTATTAAAAATGTTCGAAGAAGAGGCAGAAACGGCTCAAATCCATAATGAAGAAGATACATGAGAAATGAATGTTTTGAATGATCCACCAGATCCATATCCAATAGGACATGCTATGTCCCAAAAGCATACTTTGTACTGAGGCCAGGCCAAGTTACAACCGGACCCGAAGTATCCAAAGATGCCTACGTACCTGTCACATCAGACAAAGCAGATTCTCTGTCCTTCTCAACCGACCAAAACAGATTCTCTATCCCAGTGATAGACCATAAAGTAAAAAGAAGATCTTTTCACCGACACTAAAAGACAA